AAATATATTTCGGTCTGGGTTGACCCTCGTCAGTTCTAACGATATAATAACCATCAAAATCGATAAAAAAAAAAATAAAAAAATGTAAAAATCACAAGAATGTAAACAAACAAAACGATTATTCAAAATAAAAATTTGGGCTGTCAAATGGACATAAGGGAAAAGAACTCAGATTATGAGATGGAAAAAAGATAATTTGCAAATATTCACTTTAAAAAAAATGTTTTTAGACAATTATTATTCCTTGAGATTGTTTCTTCACAAAGATTAAAAACAAACTGTGTAGATGTGTGAATATTGAGTTGGGGTGGGGGTCGATCTAATTAACGAACTTTTCCGTGAGTCGGGGGAGGGGGGGAACGGCTTGTTTAAGGAGGGGGTATTTAAAACCTTTTAAAGAATTGGACATAAAAAACTCTTTTTTAAAAAACATACTGAATTACAGTTAACAATTAAATAAAACTATTTTTTTCTGTTCATTCCTCTGAATTCAGTCATAAAATCTCTGATGTATTTAGATTCTCGTACTTCAAGTAAACTGCTTATTGGAGTAGGGCATTCAATATATGTATCAGATTTATAAATGAAGGGTCAATTCAAATTATATATTTTCTACAGTCTCTTAAAGGGAGTGACCGGCTATGTAAGGCAGTTGAACTGAGTATGCAGTCTTGTGGAAAACTTCTTTAGAATTCATTTAAGACATATTAAACTTTTTAAAGTAGCAGTTTTGAACGTTAATTTTGCGCTCAAACTCAGGATTTACAGATCTTTAAAAAGTTTAATATGTCTCAAATGAATCCGAAAGAAGTTTTCCACAAGACTGCATATTCAATTCAACTACCTTACATAGCCGGTCACTCCCTTTAAATCTTCACAATTTTTAATCACTGTCACAAAACAATTTAAAAAAACACTTATTTCAAACAAAAAATGACATTAAAACATTTTTGGATTTATTCAAAGATTAAGATATTTCTAAATGCTTGCCAATTTTACCAAGATTTATTGCAACATAAATTATATCTTACTTGAGGTTTACATTTCAACGATTAGCTAATTATTATTTGCAAGGCCTGGTAACCAATTATAGCAAGATTGGTTACACGCTGATACTCTAGTATAATTACATCTTACAATGATGTTTAGCAGGAATAACAAGCAAGGAGATAAATTCTATAATTAATACTTGAGATTAGAAAACTACGTGTACAATGAGTGTTTAAAGCCAAAAATGTTATTGCATTCAAGGAACCTACAGGGTGTCCCACGAAATATGACAGTTGTTTAATAGTGTTGAATGTCTTCTGCCATATAATTATTTTAATTATTCTCTTAGATATCAAACAACTTAAAAAGTTGTCAACGGAAACGTTTTACTAAGGTCTATCATTTTTTCTTATTTATTGCATTTTTTTAAGAACAATTTTGGGTTTTAAGCTCTGGTTTGAATTTGTTCCGTCATTATAATATACAATTGATTTAAATTCTCATTTCTATAAATTCCCATAATATTACATTTATGTGTTTTGGATCTATATTTATGTTGCCAGGGTTCCGGGGAGCTTTGCGTCCCTTTCTTTAATAACAATTCTAGATCTTTTATTTTCGTTTTAGCTGGGAGTACTTCAGCTGGGAGTACTTCAGCTGGGAGTACTTCAGTTGGGAGTACTTCAGCTGGGAGTACTTCAGTTGGGGAACTCTAACACTTTTGCTGGCTTTTTATAAGGCAGAAAACGAGCAAACTGTACTTTGCAAATCCCAACTGTGCTTGCCAGCATTTTTTATAGATAATTTCGCGGAATATTCTGTTTTTAGTCGCTATCTTTTTATTATTTCCAAAAGAATTGAGTCTTTGTCACAAACTCTGATTTTTAAATCCCTATATCTTAACAACCCAATGTTGTAGACCTTAGATATTTCAAACTATGACTTCTGTTATATCAAACAATCAAAGTTTGAAATGTGTTGTAGACCTTAGATATTTCAAACTATGACTTCTGTTATATCAAACAATCAAAGTTTGAAATGTCAAAGGTTTAGATAATTTGGTTGTAGACAAATAGGTATTAGAAAATTGGGATTTGTTGCAAAGACTCAATTCCTTTAGTATGAAATTTGAAGTAACATTTTTTCAACATTTATTTTAAATAAAAAGAGCAGTTAATTTATATTTTAGCTGTTGTATTTTCTTGTACCAGCTGATCATAGGTTTGTTTTCCGCTCCTCTATTGCAGATCTAAGCTACAAATGCATTTTGACACAAATTCCTGATTTTGAAATTTTCTTTTTTCTTCTATATTTTATTTTAATATCTGGGCGTCATAAATATCAAATTAAATACTATGGAAAATTACTGTTTTGGTTTGATGCAGTGTAATAACATTTAATTTAAAAAAAATTGCCCATTTTAACTTTTGACAAATCAAGGTTCCTATCAAGTTAAATTGTTCAAGGCAAAATTTAGTAGTTATCAAGGCAAAGTGTATCAAGGCAAAATGTTACCCAGGCAAAGTGTAACAAGGCAAAATGTTACTTGGCCCTATTTGGGCCATATCATGTCCCACACAAAATATTGAATTAAGAATAAAAGTTGAGCCGGTTTGAAGTTTATTGAATTCAAATTTTAAACAAACCAGAAAACAGGACAAATATATATATACTAGAAATTCAAGGCGCTTCGCGCCCTTCTTTCTAGCCACCCCCCCATATCCATAAATACAAATGCCAAGATACGTCAATCCATTTTTAAAGGGACTGTCCAGGTGATTTCAAGTATTCCTCCAATAAAAACGATAAATACGCTCTCAAGGAAAAATGTAATAGTATTTCTCCAATTACTCCTTTTAAACTTGAGCTTAAAAAAGTGCGTTGAAGTTAACCATAAGAGTGTAATTGGCTTGGCGAGGTAATACTAAAGCCCAATCCATTGCGACAGTTCAAAGTCCAGGCTGTCGAAAAATTTGATGAATAACTTTTATAGATGTCTAGATATCAGTGTCCAATGAAAGGAATATTATGTCTAGATATCAGTGTCCAATGAAAGGAATATTATGTCTAGATATCAATGTCCAATGAAAGGAATATTACATCTAGATATCAGTGTCCAATGAAAGAAATATTCCGTCTAGATATCAGTGTCCAATGAAAGGAATATTCCGTCTAGATATCAGTGTCTAATAAAAGGAATATAACGACTAAATATCAGTGTCCAATGAAAGGAATATTATGTCTAGATATCAGTGTCCAATGAAAGGAATATTACGTCTAGATATCAGTGTCCAATGAAAGGAATATAACGTCTAGATATCAGTGTCCAATGAAAAGAATATTACGTCTAGATATCAGTGTCCAATGAAAGAAATATTCAGTCTAGATATCAGTGTCCAATGAAAGAAATATTACGCTAGATATCAGTGTCCAATGAAATGAATATTCCGTCTATATATCAGTGTCCAATGAAAGAAATATTACGTTTAGATATCAGTGTCCAATGAAAGGAATATTACGTCTAAATATCAGTGTCCAATGAAAGAAATATTCCGTCTAGATATCAGTGTCCAATGAAAGAAATATTACGTCTAGATATCAGTGTCCAATGAAAGAAATATTACATCTAGATATCAGTGTCCAATGAAAGGAATATTCAGTCTAGATATCAGTGTCCAATGAAAGAAATATTACGTCTAGATATCAGTGTCCAATGAAATGAATATTCCGTCTATATATCAGTGTCCAATGATAAAATATTACGTCTAGATATCAGTGTCCAATGATAAAATATTCCACCAGATTTATGAATTGATTATTAAACTCTGTATATGGACTGGAGTGTGACTTGAAGTTTTGTCAACAGTATCTTTCTAAATTATTAGTATAATGAACTTTTTGTTATTATTTTTATGAGGTGTTCCGAATATGTTCCTGTACGTACTACAGTGTACAATGTACACCACATGTACGTGTACAACACATCCAAAAAACACCCTGTCCGACAATTACCCTGTCCCATAAAAAAGATATCCCTGGACACCCTTTCCCATGAGCGCCTTGTACCATAAACATCCTGTCTCAGGACACCTTGTCCAGTACACCCTGTCTCAGGACACCTTGTCCAGTACACCCTGTCTCAGGACACCTTGTCCAGTACACCCTGTCTCAGGACACCCTGTCCAGTACACCCTGTCTAAGGACACCCTGTCCAGTACACCCTGTCTCAGGACACCCTCTTCCAGGACACCCTGTCTCAAGACACCCTGTCCAGTGCACCCTGTCTAAGGACACCTTGTCCAGTACACCCTGTCTCAGGACACCCTCTCCCAGGACACCCTCTACCAGGACACCCTGTCTCAAGACACCTTGTCCAGTACACCCTGTCTCTGGACACCTTGTCCAGAACACCCTGTCTCAGGACACCCTGTCTCAAGACACCATATCTCAGGACACCTTGTCCAATACACCCTGTCTCAGGATATCCTGTTCAGTACACCCTGTCTCAGGACACCTTGTCCAGTACACCCTGTCTCAGAACACCCTGTCCAGTACACCCTGTCTCAGGACACCTTGTTCAATACACCCTGTCTCAGGACACCCTGTCCAATACACTCTGTCTCAGGACACCCTCTCCCATGGACACCCCATCTCAAGACACCCTGTCCCAAAAACACACTAACCCTGTCCCAGGACACCCTGCGCACGCTCTACGCACCTCACATTGATCTCCCACTGTGGTGTTCAACTTAACAGACATTTTGGATTCGTCTATTCAGTATTCATCCATTATTTATACAGGGTGCCCCACATCATAGCTTTAATGGCTCAAAATTGTGAATTTTGGGACTAATCAGAAAGAAGAATGAATAATTTTTTTAAATTGTATAACTGGCCAATATATGTTAATATTTGCTTTCAGAAATACAAGGGTTTTCGTGTTAAAGCTTGGAGGTAATACAATGTGATATAGAACGTTCGGTAATATTTATGTAATTCTTAATTTCTAGTAACTCAGCTTCCCCCAACCAAGAACTCCAGCATATACCTCTTCAAGTCAGCGTTCTTGCATAATCTGACTCTCCAGTGGGGGACGGCGTGTAAAACAACCCCCTGGCTATAATAAGCCCCCCCCGCTCCCCTCGTCTGAAGAAACAATAACACGTTTTAAATATGATTGTATACCTATTACATATCTCCAATGATTTTAAATACTTGAGACAAATATTTATATTTGATTTTTTATGAATTTCATTTTACATTTATTGGGGGTGCCATATGAAATAGATCATACTTGATCAGACAAAGCTTTTTAGGTTACTTGAAGTTACGCTTACAGTCCCTTTAAATATGATATGATATGATGAAGTGAGAGCTAGGTTTGCTCTTTAGCCTTGAATAATATTTGGCAAAGAAAGAAACAAGTTTAAGCTTCGGGAAAAGACGGATAATATATCGTACAGTCGTCTTTGTAGTCTCATCCTTTGTTGTTAACCCTGTACTTTCATAAACATTAAACCTTTCTTTGTTGCAGAGTTTCAACCATAAGATTTGCTCGCTAATAAGTTTGTATTGTATCAGTATAAGAAAGTATGTTGTAAACCTTGAAGTTTATGTTTACTAAAACTTAAATTACTATTCACACTGTACAAGGAACACTCACCACTCAACCAATAATAGTAAAGAATAATCTTTATCCTTTATAGTCATAGAGTGGTGAGCACTTTATCTGTATCCTGATGGAAAAGAATATCAAGATGAAAACCTTGTACAGTTAACTGACAATCTATAACTTTATAGTTTGTCTTTTTTATGATTAGTACATATGATAACATGGGATGTCACACGAAAAAAAATTTTAATCAGTTAGCTTATAATCTAATTTTAGATCTATAGATGTTTTTTTCCATGACGTGTAGATTTTATGACGTGTCGTGTTCTGACTGTATAGTGCACACCAGTTTGAATATTTATAGAAATTTTACAGTATTTTAAGTTTGGACAAGTTTTATTGGCCAATACCGGGCATATAGCGAATTAAACCATATAATAGATGTTTCAGGCTCTAAAATGTAAGCTCCAGGGTTTCCCACAGAGAACGAGACTTCAGAGACGACTGTGCGGAATTTACACTGCCTGTTTCTTTACATTCTTGATTCCCTGCAACTGTAAACTGGTTTCTTTCTTTGTAAAATCATTAAATAAGCCATAATTAAAGATAATATTCAAAGCAGGAGACCCTTAAACCCTTAAATTGTCATAATTTAAGAGTTTTATGTCGTCTTTACAAGCTGATCCTTCGTGGGTAACCCTGTATATAGAACAAAGTTACAGAGCGAGTTGAAAGTTATGTGAGTTAGAAAATCCATGCAAAAGCAAAAAATACAGAAGGATGGACTTCGTTGTATAGTTAGTTTTACGTGCTGTGGCCTTAACTTATACATCATGTAAACTTGTACCCGTATGCAGTTAATAAATAAAACATATGTTTAAATTTTTATTAGCTATCGTCGTTTCAATTATCATCTAAACTAAGAATACAAACTACAAAGGAATTTAGACTTTTCCAAAACTCAAATTTTATAACCATTATAAATATCTGTGCAACCTGATGGTGTAAAACCTTGATATTTCCAATTTTTATTAATTGATCTAATAGGATTCAAAGTTAGGAATATTTAAGATCAACGACATTGGGTTGCGAGGATATTGGGAATTGAAAATAAGAGTTTGTGGCAAAAACTCAACTTCTTTTAACCCGCCAACCTTTATAAGCCACTCTATTCATACAGTATACACTATGCAGTATACACTACAGTATACACTATACAGTATACAATACACAGTATACACTATACAGTATACACTATACAGTATACACTACAGTATACACTATACAGTATACACTACAGTATACACTATACAGTAAACACTAAACAGAATGTATTATACATTATATAGTATACACTACAGTATACACTATACAGTATACACTGTACAGTATACACTATACAGTATACACTTACAGTATACACTACAGAATACACTATACAGTATACAGTATTCACTACAGTATAAACTACAGTATACACTAGAGTATACAGTATACGTATACAATATAGAGTAGATACATTATACAGTATACAATAGAGTATATTCAGTATAAAGTATACACTTTAGTATACAGGATATACAGTAGACAGAATAATACACACTTCTTCCTTTCATCTGTTGTCAAAGCATAAATAGTGTCCTATTAACCAGTAATATTCTCAAGGTAAGTATGTATAGAGTATATATACCCTATTCAATACTAGTTCAACACTTCATTTACTATCAAACTTCATGCATAGCTTGTCATTCCAGCTCATACATTCTCCTTTATTCATTCCCCTTTATATTGATTCCCCATTATTCATTCCCCTTTATATTCATTCCCCTTTATTCATTCCTCTTTATATTCATTCCCCTTTATTCATTCCCCTATATATTAATTCCCCTTTATATTCATTCCCCTTTATTCATTCCCCTTTATATTCATTCCCCTTTATTCATTCCCCTTTATATTCATTCCCCTTTATTCATTCCCCTTTATATTCATTCCCATTTATATTCATTCCCCTTTATATTCATTCCCCTTTATATTCATACACTTTTATATTCATTCCCCGGATTCATTCTTCTTTATATTCATTTCCCTTTATATTCATTCTTATTTATATGCATTCCCCTTATATTCATTCCCCTTTATATTCATTCTTATTTATATGCATTCCCCTTTATATTCAATATCCTTTTATATTCATACTTGTTTACTCAATCCTGTCTACCATAGATTATGAGTTTATTTCAACTACTTTAACTCTTCATATCCCCGTACACCCCTTCATCCCCTCTCCCCACTCCTCTAATCCCCCTTCTCCACGTTTATATCACCACGCCCAATCACACCAAGCGCTAGGACTGACCACATAAACCCCCCTCCCCCCACACTTATATATTTCTTTACTGGCAGGTTTTTATGTTAATGAGTCTACATGCTTCTATATCAAAGTCATGTTCAGTAGTTGCCTGTTAAACCTATCTCTTGCTAATCTACACATTGCAATACCATTCATTTCATTTTAAAGAACTGTACACGTCATTTCAACAGAATATTAATCGCATCATATTCGATTCACAACGGTGCCCGTGAAAACTTTATCTGATCAAGAATGAATGAGATTTTTTAAAACGACTTGCGGATTTACATTACAGAGACAATGTAGGAAATTATACGAATTCAACACGTATTAAGAAAAGTCAAGATATCTATCTCATTGTTACCATTGCAAGGGATTAAGACCACAAATTATAATCGGACATGCGACTGCTAAAATAAAGAGTTCCTTGAAAATACTTTTTTATTTTATTTTTGGATAAATATTGGTAAAATTGGCAGTACGTTATATTGTTTGTTTGCTCCACTGACTGTAAAGAAATTTTATTATTTTATTTGGAAATAAGTTTTATCATAAATTTGTCATTTGACGAATGCAATGACAATAGATATTTCAACACCCGAATCGATTTTATCATTTTGTTCTAGATTTTTGGAATATAATTTAATCTTGACTTTATAATATACGTTGGTTGTCTGGGTGTTTGTTTGTCTGTGTGTATCCAATACACGGCTGAACCGATCGGGCCCAAATTTTGTATCGGACCTCACATGAAGGTTTATGAATAATCAAAATGTCAAGAATGAGCCTAAAACAAACTTTGATTTTCATTAAATTTTGAAAATCCACTTTTTATGAAATCTGCGAACTTTTTGTTATTGTTTCACAATTGAAATAGAAGATGGCGACTAGTTTGTTAAATAATGATAAAATAATTTCAACTTATTAATCAAATGTAACAATGAAGTTGTTTTCACTTTTCTGTTCCAATTGGTAAAAAGAATATTTTTAGAAAAAATTTGTTTAGTCCAGCAAATAAACAAAATATGCAAAACATATATTTTTATGAGATTATTTGATTTCACTGAGTCATGTTTTTATACAAAATTGTATTTTATTAAAGCTGATTGTTTAACCTTGGTTTACAGTAAACAATACTGGAGCAATATCATTTTTCATATAAATCCTGGAAGAAATGTCGGCGCGGAAGCAACAAAAAAACAGTTAATTTCCTAGTTCAGGATCCTTCGACTCTCAGCGCGGAAAATGGATCAGTGTCTGTCCAGCTCTCGCGCGGTGAGAATCCCTGCTCTGCGCTTCCGCGCGCCTGTCAAGAACTATCTATCTCGTGCACGTATCAATGAAGCATATAAGCACTAAGCAGACAGAACAATCCTAATATTTCAACCCAGCTGTGTAGCGGGTATCAACCAAATACCACCCATAGAGCCCACCGTCAAGATTTATTAAAAATCCGCCAAAATATTTAAAAAATACGCAAAGCATGAAGGTCGGAGGGAAGGCTGATTGATTGATAGTGCCCGAGGGTGGAATCTGTATATAGCCGCAGTTTCCTGCAGAGGGGTAAAGAATAAAATCACAGAGCAAGGTTAAAGTGTGGTTTTCAGGACTCCATCATCTAATGCACTTCATCACACACTCATCAGTTAATCAAGGGATCTCTCTTCAGCTTATCTCAGTGAACTCAACCGGATCATTTGATCTTGATTGATCAAATCAATTTTTCGGATAAAGTTCGTCAAGATTAACCAACACGAGTTAAATTTCGGAGTTTTCAGTGATTCATGATTTATGAAATAAAAAATCAAGTGATCTCTCAGATTATCAAGTGATTTTCCTTCCTATCATTGTAAGATCAATTTCACAAAATTGATTAGCCCTAGTCAGCTGTGATCATTCTCCCAACAGGCCTTCATGATTTAGGAAATAAGTTTATTTCAAATTACTATTTTATTTCATCGATCCAGGATTAGGAATCATTTTTAACAAATCATCAAACCATTGAGAAGAAATAAATGTGTCTGTGAGCGAGTGATTTAAAGGGTAGGACGTGGACGTCACACGACGATTTATCTTTCTATGGTTTAAAATCATTTGTCATTGCTCATTCAATAATTCACACCTCACAGCAAGCTCAGGTTATACTAGTGAGTAGGGTAGGGGTAGAGAACAGCTAGCTCATGGTATACTAGTGAGTAGGGGAGGGGTAGATAACAGCTAGCTCATGGTATACTAGTGAGTAGGGGAGGGGTAGGGAACAGCTAGCTCAGAGCTGAAAACTTTAGAATCGGATGTCCTTAATCCCGATTAGTTAATTAATCTGGAGATTAATAACAAGAGGAGAACAAGCATTATTTAATCTTGAGATTAAGAAAAAGAGTCGATCAAGCATTAATCCCGATATCCACCATTCAAAAGTTCCCAGCTCAGGTTTTACTTGTGAGTAGGGGAGCGGTAGGGAACAGGGTATACTTGTGAGTAGGGTAAGGGTAGGGAACAGCTAGCTCAGGGTATACTAGTGAGTAGGGGAGGGGCCGGGTTCAGCTAGCTCCGAATATACTAGTGAGTACAGGAGGGTTAGGGATTAGGGGGAGTTTGAACTGCATGAATAAGACTCAAAGATACATTCCTGTTCAATTGTAATGGATGTAAGACTTCTACTATTAAATAATAAGAATATTGTAGAAGTAATTTCCAATAATCCCTCATAAATAGAGTGACATGCCCAATTCACATCGATGAATGAGTTATCCATGTTTTTCTCTTTGTGAATTTATTTAAACAATTGTGACTTCTCTCTAGTCTCTAATGAGTGCTTACTGGTTCATGCTACAGTAACTATGTTAGATTTTAACACTTTTCAAGCTGGTAAAACAACGATATCTTCCAAATGATTGATCAGGATAAGATTTAGATATGACTGTCAGCTAAGAAGTTTGATTAGAAATTGAAAGAATATTGAAATATATTATTTGGGACTAGAGGATATTGTAGATTAGTTGGGACTGGGTTATATTGAAATATATTATTTGGGACTAGAGGATATTGAAATATATTAGCTGGGACTGGAGGATATTGAAATATATTAGCTGGGACTGGGGGATATTGAAATATATTAGCTGGGACTGCAGGATATTGAAATATATTAGTTGGGACTGGAGAATATTGAAATATATTAGTTGGGACTGGAGAATATTGAAATATATTAGTTGGGACTGGATGATATTGAAATATATTAGTTGGGACTGAAGGATATTGTAGTAGAATAGATGGGACGGTATGATATTAAAATATATTAGCTGGGACTGGAGGATATTGAACTGGAGGATATTTAAATATGTTAGTTGGGACTGGAGGATATTGAAATATATTAGTTGGGACTGGAGGATATTGAAATATATTAGTTGGGACTGGATGATATTGAAATATATTGGGTGGGACTGGAGAATGTTGTAGTATATTAGTTGGGACTGGATGCTATTGAAATATATTAGTTGGGACTGGAGAATATTGAAATATATTAGTTGGGACTGGAGGATATTGAAATATATTAGTTGGGACTGGAGGATATTGAAATATATTAGTTGGGACTGGAGGATATTGAAATATATTAGTTGGGACTGGA